GGGACGAATATATATATATATATATATCTAATCAAAAAATTTAGAAATAAAATACAAATTATAATATCAATTTCTACTAACGTGATCAAGTAACTAACTGATATTTGATTTTATTCTTTACAGATTATAGCTTATAATCAACACTAATTATAAGAAAAAAAACAAATTTCTTTTATTATATTTTGTCTTTTTTTAATTAATTTTATATTTTGATTACATGTTTCATAGATATACAGTGATAGTCAATTAAACTTTCTTTTAAAATCTAGAGAAGATGATTCTTAAAATTTGTAAAAGAAGAAAAATTTAGGAGCAAGTGCCAATAATATGTAAATAATTATAAATAATATTATTATAATAAATGGTGTTTTTGAAAATGTACCCATTTTGACGTGTAGTAAATATGCCCTTTATGAATCGAAAAGTAGCACTGTCCCTGATGTCGGTAATCAAGAAAAATGGTAGGGGAAAGCAGCCGATAACACAAACTGAAATAGCAAGGCCAGATGAATGTGCTAAGACAGCATATGTCCCCGAAACGAATGCCAACACAATTGCAACCGCAGCGTAACTAATAAGATTAGCAGCTCTATAAACTTTCCTCTCTAGCTTATCCAGATTGTTAGTCATAGCCCCATTCAAGTGGATAAGCACTGCTGAAGTGGATAATGACATGGCTATGGTATTTGTTACCTTAAAAGCTTTGAAAGCTGCTTCTCTTCTTAGAATCGCCATGCCTTGGTTTGGGCCATCGTTGCCATTGTATCCACCGGGCATCGTGAAACCAGCAATAAAGGCCACAGTTGCTACAAGTGTAGCCACTATCAATTGGGTTGCCCCTGCTTGCTTCAGGTCTATGCGTGTCATTAAATTCTACAAATAAAAAGCAAAATAAAATAAAACAAATAAAAAATTATAGAAGGCAAATTTCGTTTTACCAGGTTACTTTTGCCCATGTGTGAATTATCCCATTCTCATTTGAAAATAATCACATAAACCCCTTGTAACGTTAAATATTGTGTAATTTAGGACTGGTTTGGCATAGACTATATAATCCATCTTTTTATCTTTTTATCGTTTTTCTATCACATCGCCTCTCTACTTTTCTGCACATCTTTTCGTAAAGAGACAAAAAGTGCACTTTTTTAGGACACGCCAAACCAACCCTTAATAGCAAGTGTAAAACACGTATAGGCATAAGGGAGATTATATGCTATGTAATTGATTATCTTGGTTAACCATCTATTAAATACTAATGCTTTATTCAATGCTTATATTTGGTTTAGTATATTTCTACTGGGCTGTGGCTCACCCTTATGGGAACATCATTTTCAGGTCCAGGTGATAAGCTACCTCCCAGGACTTAGCTTGGAAGGATTTGGATTTTGAAGACTAGCTTTTGTTGTTTGCTTTTATTTGATGAATAATCAAGCCTAGGGCTTTATTTGTATTTGAGTTAGAACTCATATTTTGTGTCCAAGTGATGGCTTGGAAAGATGTAAGCCCATAGGGCATTTAATTTGATGTTACATGTAATGTTTTTATTTAGTAATACTCTGATGAATGAATGAATAAATTGTTTTCTTTAAATAATGCATGTCAATGATATACATATAATGGGTTTATTTTGAGGGCGTTACAGTTTTCAAGTTTCTTATTTTGATGGGCAAGTAGAGTTATGTTTGAACAATGAAATTGGTCATTGCTTTGCCCATAAAATAACATTCAGAGTATGCATCAAAAAAATTCTGAATTCGCATATTTTAAAAAAGGTTGAGAGAGAGAGAAATGATTTATTCGTAAACCTAAAACTTAGCGTTTGTTTTCAATCATCTATTGAATCTCTAAAGTTTTCCGTAGCAATGGATTTAGGTAAGTACCACAGCAATGGATTCAGGTAAGTACAATTATTTACATGAAAATCATGATAGTTATAGATCTTGGATTATGAAGGTTGTTATATGCATAATACCATAAAATTTATTTATATCGTAGACCATGTAGTTGTCCCTTGAAAATTTAAAATAACGAGAAAGTCAGACATTTGGGATTTGAGTCAATGAGGCGACTATTATCTTAACATCTTATATTTTTAACGGAAATAAAAAAAAATAAAGGGTTAAATTTATTTTATCCCCTTGTGGTTGGGGGTTAGAGCATTTTACCTCCCTAGGGTTCAAATATAGCTAGAAAATCCTCATATGATTTTAGATTAAAGTGTTACCATTGATTTTTCCATCCAAACTAACAAGAATGTGTATTTCGCACACTACTTTTGAGAGTGGATTGATTTCCTGAAAAATTAAAGTGAAATTAATATAACAAAAAAACAATTTTATCCCAATTTTCTGTAAACCTAAAATTAGATGAATATGTTAATTAAAATAAAATAAATCAAATTAAAATATAATTAAAAATTGATCTAAAATATAAAATACAATTAAGAAATGATTTAACATATAATTAAATAAAAATATAAAATAAATATTAATTAAAAATTGAACTAAAATATAAATAAATTAAGATTAGATTAACATGTTAAGAATTTTAATAGATAATTAAGCATTTAAGATTAATTGTGATCTAAAATATTAAATTAAAATAAGATTAGAAATTTTGTAATTAGAATATATAATTAAATATTTAGGATTAATTGCGATATAAAATATAATAAAATTAAAATTAGAATAAAAAGTTAAGAATTAAAATAAATAATTAAGAATTTATAATTAATTTTGATTTAATTAAATTAATGTTAAACCTGATAAATTATGTGTATGAGAGGAGATAGAGAGAAAATAACAAAAAAAAAAAAAAAAAGATTTGATGGTATTATAATCATTTTATATGTGGTCCAAAATCACATGCCTCTCTGATTATTTTTGAGCCATAAGGAAGTTTAGCCTGAAATTATGATGAGGTAAAATGAATTTAACCCAAAAATAAAAAATAAAAATGATTGTAAATGAAGTTTAACCCGTTGGTTCTGACCTCAGTAGTAACCAGGATGTTGCGCCAAGCTTGATTGGCATTTGTAGCAACCTTGATTCTTGGAAAGATCCGTTCTGAGACGCCTTGCTGGAGGAGATAAAGAGCTTTAGCATCATTCTGTCGCTCCTCCTTGTTGGCCGGATCGTACCCATTCTGTACCGTATCCCACAAACCCTTAGATAAAAGCAGAGTTTGCATCTTCACAGCCCAACACTCGTAGTCGGTACCGTCAAAAATTGGAATTGTGGCCATGTAGAGTTAACTCTGTTAAGGATATTCACTTCTTCACCTTGCAGCTGATCTTCCTTCCACAAACCATAAACTCTACCACTACCATATGGAATGGAAGCCTTTTGAGTAGGCCTGTATAAGCTGTTGTTTCATCATTAAAAAATAAATAAAGAAATAACAGCCAGCAAAATTGACTTTCGCAAGGACGGATGTAGATTTTTTAGAGTTTGGGTTACAGCTGCACATGGTGCGCTGCAGCACATTTTATTAGGTTTATTTTAGGGTTTAATTTGATAATTTAAAGGATTATTTATCAATAAATCCCACTTCATAAACTGTTATACTAATTATTTTCAGTTTTATTCTTTTGTTTCGTTTAGTCCTACTGGTGGGGAGATTTGGTCCTTTTTTATTTTATTTTCCATTTCTGGTTTCACTATGTGGACGTTTGTGCCCTTGTGGTAATTGGGAAGTGTTTTGCAGGACCATTTCTTGTTTGGAAACATTGCAGTTTTGGTTTGGCTAATTTGAATGATACATTCAAATACATTTCAGTCATTGACAATTAGGGTTTTGTGAATTTGAATATGGTGTTTTTGGTGTCAGCCGTGTGACACACTGATTGGTTGTGTATATGGGGATAAGCAGCAAAAGAAATTGTGTCAGTTGGACAGTGATGGTTGGGACCACGTATAGTGGTAAACAATGATTTCTTTGTAGGATTAGGTATGTATGGGTTTTTTTTATTGTTTTTTTGTGTTGTTGGTTTGTAAGGTAGTGTGTGATGTGTCTGGGAATTAGCTGGCAAATAAATTGTGATAGTGGGACATTGATGGTGGGGGCCACATATAGTGGTAAACAATGATTTGGTGGTGTGTGTTGTGGGCTGGTTGGTTATGTATGTATATGTGAATAAGTGCTCCAATTGGTTGTGTTAGTGTGACATGGATGGTTGGGGTCACATGTAGTCAATTGAGTTGTGTGCCTTGTGTCAACTACCAAACACACCAGTTAAGCCCAAAACCTTCTTATGCGCTTTGACCTTTTGTGACACCCCCTCTATGTATCACGTGCCACACACACCACACATCCATTTCTTATTTACCCGCGTGTGACACATGCACCTAACCCAAAGCCCACTAACCCAGTTGTAACTGATCTACTAACATGTAAATGAGGGCATTAACGTCCTTCAAAAAACCCAGGACTAAATGGTTCATTAGAAAAAAAAAATGGGACCAATTGGATCATAAGATCAAATTTTAGGATTTATTGGTAAATCTCCCTAATTTAAACCGTTTATATTTTAAAAGCTATTAAGTAAAATAAATCTGTAAAAAATTGCGTCGATCGGATATCGTTATCTCTTTCATCAAATTACATTTGTATTGAGTTTTATACATCAAATTACACCTTCTTTTTTTTTATTTATAAAATACAAATGTGATTTGATAAAAAGGCTAACGATATCTGATTGACGTAATTTTTTACTGATATATTCTACTCGATAACTTTTAAAATGTGAACGGTTTAAATTATGAAATTAAACTTTGACATAGGCCCAATAAAATATATAACAATTGCTATTTTGCACCATACGCAACAGAAATCCCAAACACATTTTTTCAACAGCAAAAGAAGGGGTGGTATGCAGATTTGGAATTCTATCTTCATTGGATTCCTGTCGTACATTTTGGCTCTGCACAACCTATGTCTACAAGTAGAGATGGCCACTTGATGGATTGGGAGCGGCAAGGGTCGGTTAATATTATAATTTAAAAAATAAAAATATTAATAAAATTTTTAAAGAATAGAGTACATATTACGAATAATAATTTATGATTAATAAAAATTAAGAGATGTAAGATGAGAAAGAAGGAGTGAAATTCAATATTTAATATAATATTTGAGTTTTAATATTATTATATTAAAAAAATTGGATAAACATTCATTTTCAACTTTGGATAGTATAAGAGGTCCAATATGTTTTTTCTTGTTAATTAAGGTCCCTCAATAATATTATTAGATAAATTTTAACTTGTCATGGAAGAATATTTATTTGTGAAGAACTGAAATTTCTCAATTTGGTTAGCTTCTATTTAATTTTTATTTTATATAATATACAAAAATTAAATATGATTATCATATTTTTATTAAATACTATATTATTTTATCCTGTGCAATTGGGGATTCAAATCCTAATGAGCTGGTTTAGGTTGGAGTTGAAAGTTGTTCAAAAAATTGAAGAGTATGTTTCGAACTAGGGTCTCTCTTTGATAAGTGCTTCAACAAGGATCTCTGTTTCACAACAAATTGTGATAAAAAGTGAATGTGTGGTTCGACTTTCTTTCATTTCATCTCCTAATTGCACCTCTACGGAGATAGCAAATAATAGAGATCTCAAATCTCTGTGGGATTCATACACATACATGTGAATTTGTATGGATCTCACACCCATATGAGAGATTTGATAAAAAAATTCGGTAATCATTTGGGATCCATAGTATTTTCCAATAATAATAATCAATCAATTGTTTTTAAAATAATGTCATTAGAAATGAAATTAAACATGCAAAATTAGAGGAATGTAATATCACTTCATTTAACTAGTCTATTCTCTTTTCTTTTTTCTTTTCATTAATGATCTACTCGGCCAGCCTATTAATGATCTACTCAATCAACTTAACAATATAAGCAGTTTGAACTATTCAAATAATCTTGAAACAAACCCCCACGAGTCTCACAACAATTTCCATTGTGTGATACTTATAGTAGCACCCCCGATTCCTCAAAATTTTGCCCATAATTAAAATATGTAAATAAATTTATTTTGAATACAACTCATAAAGTACCAATTTTAAATCTTCACTTTACATTTCACTTTATTGGTAAATTTTTGATTAAATTTCTATAGTAACTAGAATCGTTGGGAAAATTTGCTGAGAGATCCATTAAATTGTAGCGAGGTGTATGGCATTAGGTCCGAGAATTGTTTTGTTTTAGGGGTTGTTTGGCATCTTTGATATTAGTATATTTTTTATCTTTTTTAGTCACGTCACCTCTTTATTTTTTTATACATTTTTTTTTTGTAAAAAGTTAAAAAGTATACTTATTTAAATCATTTTAAACAATCCCTTGGTTATAAAGAGATGATCAATAAAATTATTCAGTGGGAAAGACAAATTTGTTTTGAAGAATAATATTTTTCAATTTTAACCATTGTTTCATCATTAAAAAATAAATAAAGAAATAACAACCAGCAAAATTGACTTTCGCAAGAAGGACGAATGTAGATTTTTTAGAGTTTGGTTACAGCTGCACATGGTGCGCTGCTGCACATTTTATTAGGTTTATTTTAGGGTTTAATTCGATAATTTAAACCGTTTATATTTTAGAAGCTATTAAGTAAAATATATCTGTAAAAAATTGCGTCGATCGGATATCGTTATCTCTTTCATCAAATTACATTTGTATTGACTTTTATACATCAAATTACACCTTCTTTTTTTTATTTATAAAATACAAATGTGATTTGATAAAAAGGCTAACGATATCTGATTGACGTAATTTTTTACTGATATATTCTACTCGATAACTTCTAAAATCTGAACGGTTTAAATTATGAAATTAAACTTTGAAATAGGCCCAATAAAATAACAGAAATCCCAAACACGTTTTTTCAACAGCAAAAGAAGGGGTGGTATGCAGATTTGGAATTCTATCTTCATTGGATTCCTGTCGTACATTTTGGCTCTTCACAACCTATGTCTACAAGTAGAGATGGCCACTTGATGGATTGGGAGCGGCAAGGGCCGGTTAATATTATAATTTAAAAAATAAAAATATTAATAAAATTTTTAAAGAATAGAGTACATATTACGAATAATAATTTATGATTAATAAAAATTAAGAGATGTAAGATGAGAAAGAAGGAGTGAAATTCAATATTTAATATAATATTTGAGTTTTAATATTATTATATTAAAAAAATTGGATAAACATTCATTTTCAACTTTGGATAGTATAAGAGGTCCAATATGTTTTTTCTTGTTAATTAAGGTCCCTCAATAATATTATTAGATAAATTTTAACTTGTCATGGAAAAATATTTATTTGTGAAGAACTGAAATTTCTCATTGGTTAGCTTCTATTTAATTTTTATTTTATATAATATAAAAAAATTAAATATAATTATCATATTTTTATTAAATAATATATTATTTTATCCCGTGCATAGCACGG